TCAAAAGGCAAAAGATGAAAAAAATATTAAGTAGTACATACCAAAGAGAGAGATAATAAGAGTAAATGATCATGAATTATGATTACCAGACTAAACAAGAAAGGAAGTATCAAATCCATGACCTCCTACAACAAAATCATTCATTTAGTTAATTATGGAAAAATACATCAACTAATCCAGTAGAAAAAAATAACAGAGTAAGTGATTAGGATAAAATGAAAAAAAGAAAAAAAAAAAGAAGGCAAATTATACTTTACACCATTTTGGTTTAGTGCTTTTCTACGTAACCCTCCTATGGTTTCAAAAACTATATATAACCATCTCATAATTTGAATTAAAGTGTCAAAATGACAAAATTTGCAATCCATAATGGAGTCAACTAAAATATCAAAAATATCTCTAGGTAAAGTTGAAAATTATTTATTAACCACAGGAGGGTTATGTATATATTTTGAAAATCATAAGGGAGTTATATGGTAAAGTACTAAACCATAAAAGGGTTATATGGTAAAATATAAAACCATAGGGGGTTAGAGTATCATGCATATTATATTTATATATTTTGGTCACTTTGGCCATTTTAGTTTTTAAATAAGGGTAATTTCGACATTTTCATAGATCCCATTTCGCATGATCATTTCCATTACATTGACACTTTAATCCAAACTATGAAATGATTATATATAATTTTTAAAATTATAGGGGGTTACGTGAAAAATAACTATACCACTGGGGGTAAAATGTATTTTGCCCAAAAAAGAAAGAAGTATAGAGTGAAAATTGAATGTAGAAGTGGTAGCGTAGATGAATATTTGTGTGGTTGTCTTTGACTAGAAAAAAAAGAGGAAATGAGGGTAAAAAAAATCCCAAAAGAATGGAATAAAATGAAGATAGCTTTCTTAAAGGATTAATGAGCCACGTGTCAAAGTAGATGGGAGCCACTTGGCAGTCATTGAACCTGCTACAGTAATTTCACTTCTTTTTTATATAATAGGTAGATACAAGAGTTTAAAAAAAAAATTGTATCTTTTGGAGTAGCCCGAGAATTACTCAACTAAAACATGGCACGACCCAAGAAAAATGGTTATCTTGTCTTAATTCCTAATACATACAAATTATATATAACTCTTATGCATGTTAATTTTCCCTTGGCATGTTCGCAGTTTAATCTGTGAAGACTGCGAAGATGGAGATTTTCAATGGCCTCGATAGAATGGTTCTATCTACGGACGTATATAATAAAACATTTATAGCGCTTTCTGGTATAAATTTGTATGAGAAATGAAAAGGTTGGCCTAAATTATATATGTTTAAAATTTTCATTCTGAAAAATTCAAGGCATGTACTATATAGTTCTTCACGAAAGTTAAACATAAAATTGTTACAGTTGTAGAGAGAAAGATGTTCCAGTTCTTGATTAAGAGTAATTTTCCCTTTTCTAATGATTATGGCTTCCGTTATGCATCACATCAAAATTCGCCGGCCATAATCAGCTCCGAGACATGTGCATTTGTTGTTGTGTGCACAACACAAGTAAAACTTTGGACGTTATCTAATAATACTAGGAGGTATAACCGTGGCGTTGCGCGGTGGAGTAACCAGCATGCATGCTCATTTAGACGGGGTTAAGAAGGGTTTATATAAATGGTGATGGTGTGGTTGGATTAAATATTAAGAGTACAGCATATCTCAAAGTCGATTACTATAAGAAAGTATGAAGAAAAAAGGAAAGTTTGATGTGTTACAGAAGGAAAAAGATGTTGTGTGTAAAGATACAGGGATGAGCATTAAATGTAAACGTGGTCTAATTGGTTGTAATTCTGAAATTGACTAGTGTAGTAGATAAAAAAGAGTTCACTTCAAACAAAATGTATTTGTTTGATAGTATTTCCAGCTGTCAAATTGTGCAGCAAATTGATAGATCAGTTCATTACACATATAGAATCATGGCAATCAATGTGCATGCATTAATTTAATTAATGAGCAAAAAAGTGCTACTTGGTTCCAAAAGTCAGGTGCTCTGATAAATAAATGGATAAATATACCAAACGGTGATAAGTATTTGGGAGTTACATGGTATAAAATCCGTTCCTGACAACAATGTAGAATATGTCAGCCATGATAACTGAAGCAATAGTTCCAAGCAAAAACATCTAAATGGAACTCAAGGCATATATATAAGTTCAACAAAACACAAGCTTTGCATCTATTCAAGCTTGTCTATTCTCGATAGTATTCAAAAGATTTCCAACATCACTAATGCAACTTGAAAGAGTAGCATAGATAAGGAAAGATCAGACAAGTTTTGTTTTTGTGCTGCTGCAAAAGTCATCGACTTCTGTAGGTTCTTCTTGTATCTCTCCAGCATCTCTAAACCTACTTGTGAGACGAACTCGTGGTTTTGAAGAAGATCGTTGTCCCTCTAAAACAAAAAAGTGAGCAATGTTAATAAATCGAACAAGAGGAATGGAAAGCAAATTATAAAAAAAGGACCTGAAGAACCAGCTTCTGAGTTCTATTCTTTAGCTTGGAGAAATTGATTCTCAACACCGAGCGGGAATCTTTGTTGAAAGAAGATGTTGCTGCATTTTCTTCTAAGTAATAAGCAATTGTGTAATGGTCATTTCCACTACCATCCCTAGTATTTCCTGGTTTCAGCTGGGCAATGAACATATTTTCTTTAAGCTCTCTATGCACTTTTTCAAGTGGCAGTTCTTCATTCTGTTAAATAAATCCATAAACTTGGATTGGCATGATAGTCTGTATGTATCTAATACAGAGCTATTCAAAGCTATTTGTAATTCCGACCTTGTTATAGTACTCCATCGCTTCAAGTGCAGTGAATTTAAGCAGTGATTCTGCTAGCTTGCCAAATATTAAAGCTGTGACCGTGTCAGTTTTATCAGTGAATCAACATCAAAACGACATTTGCATCAATATGTACTTCAGAAATAAGTCAGTAAATTCAATAAAATCAGTGTTATGTAGAACAATGACAGTTCATGAACAAAGCATCAATTTCCTTGCTACAGCTCTCTGTTTCTCATTGCAGTGGTTGCATATATAAACTGAATCATAGTTTGCTGATGTCATTCGGCAACATTTGATACAAGCCATATACCAATACTTTTGCAGTATATGCTCAAAAGAAAAGCAAGTCTTAACCCACGACACCTGTAGAAATTTTTAAACAGATTACAGGAACATTTAGGTGTATATACATGTATAAATAGATCAGAAAAATAACACAATTGTATCGTTTAAAGAAGTGAATCCAACAGTAAACAAGTCATGACCTTTTGAGCCGGTGTAATATCAACAAGTGAGGTAATTTTGTGGTTTCGATCATAAAACATTCTGGGACTATAATTGCTGTATGACTTGTTTTGAACAAGAGCAGCGAAACTCTTTTCATTTCTGACAGCCCTATAAATTTCATTGTAGAATAAATGCAGCAATGAATGTCAAGTAACCTATCCTAGTCAGAAAGCCAAGAAAAAGGGAAAAGTAAACAATAAACATTACAAGACCAGTGTTTGAGTTGGTTGGCGTCTCTAACTGGTGGATTGACAAGAATAACCGAATCATTTCTTGTTGATAGGGCAATTCCTGATAGGTAAATACAATTAGAATAGGAATCAATAAACACACATAGAATTAAATTATCAAGATCCTAACCTCTATTAGGCCTTACCTCCATAAGTAACAACCTTGAGTTTGCGACCTATCACAACTGGATACTTGTCTTTCTGTTCAGTGATAGTCTTACCTTCATTTTCAATGAAATCGTTCAAAAGAGATAATATGATTGGATTCATCCTACATAAGAAACAGAAAAATGTAACCTTTTAAACTGTTTTCATAGCACATAAGTTCGAGAACATAATTGTATGTAGTGCAAAACAGTAAATAATTAGAAAAAAATGGTCCATATTCCTCATTGATAATAACAAATCTCTGTACAAACGATTCCTTTGAGTCTTTGTTGATTGGGATGACAGAAAGGACGTCAATAACAATACCAAGAACATCTGTAATTTGAAGAAAGATAGTAGTAAAGGTAGACAAAGTATCACAATTGAAAGCATACAAATTTATTGACCAGCAGTTTAAATCAGAGATCTATAAATCATAGTATAAAAAGCCAATGACCAGTAGATTAAAGGCCAAACTGACCAACAGTTTCAGTCTTTGAATCTGTATAACAAGCAAATTCCTTAAATGGTGTGAATGTGAACTGAAGCGACAAGACACTATTTTCTTCACTTTCAATTTCCTCAACAACAGTCTGTGTTCCCATAACCCATTGCAGTTCAATACCATTAGTCCTAAATTTCTCTGAAATTTTCTTCACTTCAGCATTTGAGATGCGATATTTCTTGTAAAGTTGCAACTTTGGCCCCATTTTTTCAATAGCATAGTTAAAAAAGAATTCCCTGAACTCTCAAACCCTGTGTCAAACGCCAACTTATATAAATAGAGATTGACCAATTATAAATAAAATGTATAGCGATAACGATTAAGGGTGAACAAAGAAAATGGTCAGGTTAAACTGAAAGATAGTGAATAAAAATATACCTTTGAATCAACCAAAATAAGTCTTTGGAATCTGGTTGGTGTGGAATTTGAAGAGCCTAGGTTCAACTTTTCCTGAACTATTACTTCAGCTGTCCAAGACTTCATTCCAGGCACAATATCATCAATATACAAAGTATTTGCCATCCTGGAATAAGCAAGGAAATAAAATTATCAATTTTGTCAAGCTAAAAAGGAATGACACAAAAGAGGCTGCATAAAAAGATAATGCATATAATATTACACTTACACACGAGCACTATGTATACCTCAAAATATAAGATTCATTTGTTAGACAAATAAAAAATTTCATGGAATACAACATTTCTTGTCTTGAATTCAGTTACAATATCACTGAATATTCCTGGTAATATTAAGACTCTAACAGAAGATGATGTCCTAGCACGAGATAGCACAACATATAGCTAACCGTGTGAGAATACAGGTTCTCGTAAATAAACTCCAACACGATCCAAGGTTTGTCCCTGTGACTTGTTAATCATCATAGCAAAGCAAAGTCTGATGGGAAACTGGGTTCGCTTAAAAGGAACCCCATTCTTTTCATTGTCTGATGTTTGGAAAGGAATCCTTGGTAAAAGAACCCTTTTTCCTTGATGCTGACCAACTGCAATTTCTGTACAAATGGCATGCTGCTTTAGCTGTCTACATATAAGCCGCATTCCATTGCATAAGCCTTCTGCAGGATTTAAATTCCTAAGAAGAATAATAGGGCAACCTTCTTTTAGCACCAATTTATGAGGGGGTAGACCCTTGGGATTCAAAGAGTTTAAAAAGTCTTCATAGTCAAACTGATCCCTCTCATTAATAGTTTGATCAGTGCTCATATACACAAAAAGTTGTCCAGGAAAGCGATCAATCATTATCTCATTTATATCATCAACACATGTATTCTTTGGAGTAAGAATACATCTGTTTGTGATCTGATATGGATCAGATGAAACGCGCTCAAATCCGAAAATACAAAATCCACTAACCTAGTTAACAAATATTTTAGTTAAAATAAGACCATTTAATATATCTGATGTACATTAGCAAAGTGACCACGAAGTTTGAAAGAAAAAATGAATCTTGACCTGTTTACCGAATCAACTTTGTTATCAAATGGGATTGATATATCCTTTGATAGAGATATTTTTCCATCCTCGTCTTCTGGTTCGCGGCCTTCGCCTATCCTAAGTAGGAAATCAGAGAAGTGGCTATCAGAGATAGCTCTCATGTTTTTAGTTAAGATTAACTTCCAAAGAGTACTCCACAAAGGTGAGTTGACAAAACTGGCTTCTATCTGTTGATCTTTTGTTGCATTCTAAATAACAGGTAAAGTTTGACGAAAGTCTCTCCCAAATACTATTACTTTGCCACCAAAGGGCAGATCAGAATCCATTACATTTCTGAGCAACCTGTCAAATACTTCAATAGTGTCCTTCTTGGCCATAGAAGCTTCATCCCATAGAATTAATTTAGCCATTATAATAAGCTTAGCAACAAAGCTCTGTTTGCTGATATGGCAGACTTTACTTGCAGAAATGTCCAATGGATTTTAAACCTTGAGTGTGCGGTCCTCCCTCCTGGAAGAATAGATGCAGCAACTCTAGATGATGCAACAGCTATTGCTATGAACCCTTGGGATCTAAGTGTTGCCAGAATAAAGCGATAAAGGAAGGTCTTACCAGTCCTGCCGGGTCCATCAACAAAAAAACTGCTATTTTCGGAAGAGAAAACCTCTTACAGAATAACGCCATAAGCAAATCTTTGGCCTATATTTAGCTTTGAAGGCAATAGCAAGTCTTGCTCTGTAAACTGTATGCTTAGCTCACTCTGAATTTCTCTTGTGAGGCGCTCATCATGATTGAGAATAAAACCACCAGGTACCAAGTGGTAGTCATTGACATTTTTTCCCATTTGTTCCAAGGATTTATTTATATCCAGCAAAACACATCTTCTTATTTGTTCAACATTTTGAGCAGAAAAACTCTTAGCTTTCTCAAAATCCCTTATCTCAGTTTCATATTTTTCCCAGAGGACTTTAGGATTGCTCGGCGAACAATAGGCTAACAAGATTGCAAAGAGAGTTCTTAACGAAGAAGACATCTGAAAGGCTGCTGCTTCATTAAGCGTGTCTTCCATATGTGTGTCAGATTGAAGCAGTCCTATTTGGAAGACAGCTTCTCTATAGGAGAGCATAAGCTTTCCATTAACAGTCAAGAGATCTTCAAAACACGTAAAAGCATGAACGTGAGATAAGAGAAGTCGCAAGTAGTAGCGCTCTCCCTCATTTGGAGCAACAGTCACAACACGACCAATGACTCTTTTTCTCTTCCGTTCAATCCATTTTTTCTTAGTAGGCTTCCAAACAAAAAATTCTGGGAATTCACGATATAGGCATTTAAGACTTTGAGCCCTTTTGTTGGTTTTATTCATGCAGAAAAACTCTATTAGCATTGTCTCAGAAAAATTGGCTCAATCTAAGAGATTAGCAAGATTCGTATTTTTATGAAAAGAGATCATTTGCTGACCTGGAAGATGTAATTGAAGAGTATACACAGCAGGAGTCATTTCATTCAGGTTAAACTTATAAATGCACCAAAAAGCTTCAGCAGCCGCTACCCACCTCCCAGTCTGAAAATCCTTCATTTCATCAATGTTGCCAGGGTTATTTTCTGAGTAAATATGGAAGCTAACACGATCGTGACCCTTATAGACATATTTATACAAATACTTGACTAGCTTAATCGTCGAACAGATTTCAACGTTCATGTGATAGTCAAAGAGAGCAAGAAGGTATGAGTTACATGGCACAATCCATCGATTGTCTAGGTTGCTATTACGCACCTTTACAAATCGACCATTATTTCGCCTTCTATAGTGCGGGTAGCTATCCTCAGTATGGACCGTGAATTCACTAAAATTCTTTGGATAATGGTTTTTACAAAGACCATCTTTCATGCAAACACATTGTCCTTATTTAAAACTCCATGTGAGAACCCGTAATTTTCTCATTTTTCTAAAGTTTTTCTCGTTAATGGCATGTTTTCTGCATTTTCTTTATTAGGAAAATTTTCCTGATAATTTTTATGAGTAAATATAGTTTTTAGATGATTTTCTAGTATCGGTTAGGTTTTGAGAAATTAAGAGCGTATACCGGACGTGGGACCCACTAGTGCGGAAAGTTCGAAAAAATTCGGCCAACTAGGTTAAGTTTTGGATACTGGGTTTAAATTACCGGGTGTTATGAGATAATTAGAGGTTGCTATTTGGATTGGTGTGAGAGGAAACAAAGAGATAGAGATGCATTAAGTATAGTGACAAGTGTCACCATAAGATTAATTCTTAAGTTTGACTACTATTCATACTTTTACCCTTTTACTAAAATAACTCAAAAATTGACCAAAATTCACTCCAAATTTGCAAGCTCAAAGCCGGCCCTCTCCAAGAAAGAAAGAAAGAAAACTCTTCAAGTTTTTGCTTCAATCTTGCTCAAATCTACCAAAACAACCATTTGATCTTGCATTTGTTCCATAAAACCCCTTCACTTAGTGATTGTGAGGTGTTTAGTGGAGTTGTTTGGAAGGCTAAGGTGATTAGTTGCTCTCTCTCTTGTATTACTAAGGTGAGTAGTGAAGGACCCCTCTCCTCCATCTAATGATGTTTAATTCATGGTTTGTGGTAGTTTAAGATGTAATTTTATGGATTATATCTTGATTTTGGTTGAATTGGTGAAGTTTTATAATTATTGGTGATTTTTCTGTTTTCATATGATTATTATTATGGGGTCATGTATGATGATTGGAAATGATATTTAAGGAAGCTAGAAGGTGGGAAAAGTGGTTAATTGCAGGAAATTTCTGTTTTGGAAGAAATTTGGAAAGTTAGGGTTTCATGTTCTTACATTCTGCCTGGTAATGTAGCGCATAGTTAGAGGGTGATTTGGCCTTGGATTAAAACATGAAAGTTGTAGGGAATGATATTTTAGAGATTCCTACAAAATTTCAGGTCAATCGGAAAAACGTAACTTGTGAAAAGACTGAATTACCCCTGCTGCCCTGTTTCTACCCGAATTTGATAATTGCGTCTGTGATTGGTTATTTTGGTTGGGAATACTTCGGAATTGGTTGTTGAGGTCTTCTGATAAATTGTATCCGTGTATCTTAGTTTTCGGATGGCTTTGGAATTTCTTGATTTGGACTTAGGTAGCCTGACTTATGATGTTTGAACCAGAATGCGGTTTATGAACCTGTTTTTGCGGTTCTGGTGTAATCTATTGCATTTTTGACCTGGTTACACTCGAAAATGGACAGAGTATCCTTCTTCAACATTGTATACCTATCTCTTAGCTTCGAAACGGTATATCTTGCACCTCCATCCGATAATTGTAGTGCCAATGGTGCCAAAACCGTAAACTGATGTCAAAAACTGTTTTTTGGGTTAGAGCTTAATGCCATTTCCGGATTTTCCTGGTTTACTCTAGTGCTTATACATTCTTATGGAGCCCTATTTTGGTGGTATTTCGAATTGTTTTATGACTTGTAATCGAGTCTTATTGTGCTTATTTGAATATTTTAGGGCTTGACTTTCATTTCCGGTCATTTTCCTAGCTAAATTTTGTACTTGAATGACTTTAAACCTAGTGAACGGCTTTTGAAAATGAGATTATTTTTGTATGAGATGTTGGCACTGATTTGAGGAAATAATGAAGCCATTAATGGCTGGAAAATAGGTAAACACAAGGGATATGCTGCCGAAATTTTACTTGAAGGCTAGTTGGATTTACTTGTGACTTGAGCGAAGGGTTTTAGGGTTGTTCATGTCTTTGATACCAACCGCCACCTTTTACTCCAAAATTACATTATTATTTCTTTGCACTGGTAGCTAATTTGATCAGGCACACGACTTATAGTTGAGTCTTATTTATGCATTTCGTGTACTGGATTCATGAAAGTGGGAACCATAATTGTTTCACCTTGGTTATTTTAGGGTTTCTTGGTGATTAAATCTCTCTTTTGGGCAAAAACTTTTGAGGTATCTGTACTGAAACCGGTGAGTGTACCACTCCCCTCACTTGTTGTTGTTTAACTCGGTTTCTGTACATGCAATCTATGATATGAACGACTGAACTATCTGTTTATTCTGTTTGAGACGAGGGTGTACTTTATCACACTCGTTCTCTTGTCTGTTTATATGCCAATTTTGAGTGCGTATTTGAATCTGCTATCTGTATCTGCTATCTGTATCTGTATCTGTTCTGACGTCGTTTGGAAGTTTGTATCCAACGACCTTTCTGTGACCTCTGAGCTCAACCCCTGTGGCTAGTTACTCGAGTCGGGCCGGCAAGGGTCTGGTCGATTAGATAACGAACAACGGTAGTCTGTTTTGGGATCTTTGGGTACTGAGACCCTTGATTCCGGTATACTCGAGTATTACCATTTCTGAACTTATTGGATTTCGGGCCCGGTAGGGGTATGTGAGGTGGAAGGAATCGGAGAAAGTGGAGTCTACGGTATTGGTTACTCCTTTAGCGTTGACGGAGTGTCAACTATTATTTCGATCAAGCTTCGGTGAAGCAAATGGGAATTTGGCTCCTGAGAGCCACCTGTATCCTTCCTATTTGAATTATTGATTCTAATTACTTTACTTTACATCTGGCATGCGTACCTGATTTGTTAAATGTGAAATGCCATGATTTTTCTGCTATATGTCTGGTACCTCATTGAGTGCAAGCTCACCCCTTTCTGTTACCTTTGTTTTTCTTTACAGGGTTCCATGTTTTGAAACCAAGATTTTTGGAAGAAAAGAGTTGAGCCAGTTGTAGGACTTCTTTTGTTTATGCTCTTCTGTAACTGAAACCCTAATTGTCTTTTGTATAGCGTGAATACTCTGGCTTGTATTTTGGTTCATTGGTTCAAGACTCCGATGTAAATCTATGTATAAGCGTTTAATTGACGTCCCGTACTTTCGTATGGTTTGGTAAGCTCTGTTTAACCCTGGGTGGTCTCCAATTGTACGTTTTCGTTGAGTTCTTGCGCGTCCTATCTAGGGTTTGAGTGATTTGACTCCGTAGTCCTGGCGAGAGCTGGGCAGGCGGTCCGCTGAACCCTTTGGTTCGGTTTAGGGTGAGGTGGGGCTGTCACAGGTGGTATCAGAGCTGCTTCGCGTGGTCTCTGCGCAGAGTGAGGTTGGGCCAATGGTGTTATGGTCCTGATTTCGTGAATGTGTCTAAGTGCTCATTTGAGCATAAGTTATGAACCGTGCATGTCATAAGTGTAAAGACCTTTATCATGGGACTTGAGGAAGTTAGGTATGTATGTCGGGTAGGAGTCCTTAATATGGATGATGTACTCTTGGGACCGGCCGGCTCGAGTTGTGAATTATCGTAGATGGGATTCTTGCGCCCGAATACAAAAGAAATGGGAGCCTAGGTTAGAAAGGACTTGGGCGAACTAGAAATGTGATTCGATGGAACTTCGCGCAGTCTGTTCGGGTGTTGTTAAGCATGATCAACCTTGATTAAGATATAATTGGTGTTGTTCTCGTAGATTAAGGACGGAGCCCTAGAGGGGAAAAGTTTTTTGTTAGTTATTCTTGTACTTGTGACCTAGTTTGTCTATAGTACTTTTGGATGACCCCGCTACTCTCATGAATTTCTCATATTTGTATCTAATGGATTGCTACTGTGTGGCTTGTTTAGTACAGTTATGTTATATATGTATGCTTTTGATCTGTGCGTACCTCTTGCTACTTGCTTTTGCCTACCTATGTTTAATATTATATTCCCACTTCGACCCTAGATTGATTAGACCAATGGAGGGCACTCGTAGTGGACGGGACCGTGGGCGTGAAATTAGGCAACCCACATCTGAAAGGGGCACTGGGGAAACCTCATATGGACCAAACCCTGAACCTAGGGTTGACCCCAACGTCCAAATAGCTGCTGCCATGCAGCAAATGACTGATTTGCTAGCCTAAGTGGTGCACCAACAGGGTCAAAACCCTAACCCTAATTCTGGGAACCCTGGTAATCACATAGAGGGCGAGGATAGAGCCCTTGAGAGATTTCAGAAGTTCTCCCCACCCAAATTTCTTGGAGGCCCTGATCCTGATGTGGCTGAGAAGTGGCTGGAGAAGATGATCGATATTTTTGCTGCTTTACACTATACCAAAGAGAGACAGGTGACATTTGCTGTCTTTCAACTAGAGGGAGCCGCCCGTTCCTAGTGGAATGTCATTCGAATGAAATGGGAAAGAGAACAAACCTCGAGGACGTGGGCGAACTTTATGAGAGAATTTAACGCCAAGTTTTTCCCTCCTCTAATTCAAGAAAAGAAGGAAGATGAATTCATTCGGTTTCGCCAGGAAACTCAAACCGTAGCCGAGTATGAGAGTCAATTCACCCGGTTATCTAAGTTTGTGCCCGAACTGATCGTAACCGAACAAAGACGGATAAGGCGTTTTATTCAGGGACTAAATGTTGAGATTCAAAAGGATTTGGCGGTAGCTCAACTTAATACCTTTAGTGATACTGTGGAGAAAGCCCAGTGGGTTGAAGATGCGAGGCTACAAGTTAGAAACTTCCAAACCAAGAAAAGGGCTTTTCTGGGAGCAGCTCAGAACAAGCGGATGAGAGTACAACCCCTAAAGTTGGAAAGGAAAATGGGGGAGTACGGCTACCGGGGGTGTCAGGTGGTGTCCCACAGGGGGGATCCGTCTCTGCTACTCGTGGTCCCTGTGAATATTCCGGAGGGCCAAATCATACGGAAGCA